TATCCTAGATAACTGATCACCTTATCTCATCATCATGTAATTTCCTAGATAAACTCTAACTCTGTAATTGTTATCTTCTGTACATAGTTATCCTCTTGTAACTTCTCTATTTAAATGATTCAAGAGACCAGTCATCACTGGTTGAGTCATTCCATTCTCATTGTTTTTAGTATTGCTCTTATGTGGTATCAGAGTCATTTTTAACAAAAGTCATGGCTTCAGAAACAAGCACCACTGCTCATGCCATCCAGAGACAAATGCAGCCTGGATCGACAGATGGTTGATCCATTATGGTGGTCTCACTTTCTAGTTTTATGAATGTAGTATCAGTAAAACTGGATCGTACTAACTTCATGCTTTGGAGCTCTCAAACTACACCAGCTGTTAGAGTGCACTGTTTATATGGCTATGTGAACGGATATTTTCCTTGCCCTCCACTCTTCTTGGAAGATGGCAGTAGCCAAGGATCCAGACGCAACAACTCAAATCATGCAGCATAGGTTGAACAAGACCAGTTGATCATAAGTTGGTTATTATCTTCATTGGCAGAGCCAGTTCTGGCTCAAGTAGTTGGTTGTAAGACATCCAGAGAGGTATGGGGTCGACTTCATGTTCTCTTTTCATCTACCAGTAAAACTTGAATCCATGATTTGAAATTAGAATTAGCTTATCTGAAGAAGGGTACTCTCACTGTCACTGATTGTGTTTAGAAAATTAAAAGTTTATCTGATGCTTTAGCTGCTTCTGGACACTTTTACACTGATGTTGATCAAATTCATTATCTTCTTGGTGGTTTACCTGCTGAATATGATACCTTTGTGCTCTCTCTGACTACTAGACTAGATAGTATTTCTTTTGCTGAAATTCAAAGTCTGTTACTTACCTTTGAAAAGTGCTTAGAGCGTCACTCTTCACAACCTGCATTGGATTTTCCTTCTACTAATTTGGCCAATAAGGAGAAAACCTTCAATTGAAATCAATCCTCTTCTTATAAGTCTCGACAATTTAATAATGATAGTGGTTCTGACAAATCCAAGAAAACTTCCTATAATAACAATAATCACAGTAGATCCAATTCCAAGAATGCCACTATGGTTTGTCAACTCTGTGGGTATCATGGCCATACAGCAGCTACTTGTCGTTATCTAGAACTCACTGCCAATAAGCCTACCAAGCAAGTTCATACAGCCTCATCTTCACGATCTGCTCGTGATGAAATTTGGTATCCTGATTCTGGAGCAACCAATCATATGACTTCAGATCTTGGGAATGGTACGGGTCTAGACATTTCTCATATTGGCTCTTCTATTTTGAATATTGATTCTGGGTCCATTGTCTTGAGAAATATTCTCAGAGTTCCTAATATATCTAAGAACTTGCTCTCTGTCAGCCAGTTTTGTAAGGATAATAATGCAACTTTTATTTTTGACGCTACTAGCTTCTCTGTTAAGGACAAAGCGACCGGGAAAACTCTCCTCCAAGGGCTGATTAAGGGAGGGCTTTATCAGCTAAAGACAAATTGCACATCTACAGCTCCATCGACGTTCATTGGTGAGAAAGCATCGTTTTCAGTATGGCATCAGCGGCTAGGACATCCTAGCAAACGAGAAGCTGCCCACATCTTATTTTCATTTCAGCTTCCAGTTTCAAATAAGGACATCTCTTTTTGTCCATCCTGTCCACTAGGCAAGAGTCATACCTTGTCATTTTCTAGTAGTACTTTTGTTGCAAAGTATCCATTAGAACTTTTATTTTCTGATGTTTGGGGACCAGCCCCTGTCTCTACAAGACATGGTTTTCGCTATTATTTAATTTTTGTTGATGCTTACAACAAGTATATATGGATTTTTCCTATGACCTCTAAAACTCAGGTTGTTTCTATTTTTGTTGTTTTTAAGAAGAATGTAGAGAATTTATTGAACACCTCTATCAAAACTTTGCAAACAGATGAAGGTACAGAATACAAACCACTTCTCCCTATTCTCTCTGATTCAGGCATCACTCATCGTCTCTCATGTAATCATATTCATGAACAAAATGGGGCTGTAGAATGACGTCATCGCCATATTGTTGAAATGGGTCTCACCCTCCTGGCTACGACTTCAATGTCCAAACATTACTGGTATGATGCCTTTGAGACTATAGTTTTTTTAATTAATCGGCTCTCTTCTCCAATACTGGACATGAGTTCTCCCTTAGAGTGTCTCTTTGGCACTAAATCTGATTACATTATGTTGCGCACTTTCAGATGTGCTTGCTATCTGTGTCTCAGACCCTATAACCGTTCTAAGCTGGACTATCGATCCAAGCGTTGTTTATTTATGGGTTACAGTTTACATCACAAAGGGTACAAATGCTTGGACTTAACATCTAGACGTCAATATATTTCCCGTAATGTGGTTTTTGATGAACATACCTTCCCATGCACTTCTGGCAGCTCAACTCCACCTCCCAAATCGGCTATCGACACTATGGTTGGCCCTCCTATCGTTACATACCCATGCACCTCTCCTCAGACCATTCCCGTACCCACCGACTCCACCTCCCCCAGCCCTCCTATTATATCTACTGGTGTTAGTTCTGCCGAATTGCTACCATCATCATCAACCCCATCAGATATGCCCTCTTGCTCCACTGCGACCCCACTTAATGCTCACCCCATGATGACACGGAGCAAGAGTGGCATTTGCAAGCCAAACTCTCGATATGCTTTGGAAGCCTCTGTTGACCCCGATGTTGAACCCTCTTGCTACACTATTGCTAAGAAAGATCCCCATTGGGTACTCGCCATGGAAGATGAGTACAAAGCACTGTTGTGCAATGATACTTGGGATCTTGTACCTCCACCTCCTCATAAGAACATTGTGGGAAATAGATGGGTTTATAAGATTAAGAGACGTCTGGATGGGTCCATTGAAAGATACAAGGTCCGATTGGTGGCGCAAGGGTTCAATCAACAAGTCGGTATTGACTTTGCTGAGACTTTTAGTCTGTGGTTAAACCAACCACTATTCGGTTAATAATATCTCTCGCAGTTCACTATAGCTGGAATCTTAGACAACTTGATGTGAGAAATGCCTTCCTTCATGGATATCTCAGTGAAGAAGTATTTATGAAACAACCTATGAGTTTCGTTGATCCAGCACGACCGCATTTTGTATGTCGTCTTAAACGTTCCCTTTATGGTTTGAAACAAGCCCCGCGGGCCTGGTTTACTCGATTAAGGCTGAATTTGGTTCCCCTTGGTTTTCTAGAATCCCGAGCAGATAGTTCTTTATTCATGCGGCGGACTGGCACTGATGTCATTTTTCTTCTTGTATATGTGGATGACTTATTGATTACCGGCTCTTCTACTTCTACACTTACTCAACTCATCTCTCAGCTATCTACCACCTTTGTTCTTCAAGATCTTAGGGAAGCTCATTACTTTTTGGGTTTAGAACTGCATCGCAGTTCAAATGGGGTGCACCTATCCCAACGTAAATATATTCATGATCTTCTCATCAGGACCAAGATGCATGAAGCTAAACCCGTTCATACACCGATGGTGGCATCTACCAGACTTGATGTGTGCAATGGTTCTCCTCTTCCAAATGCCACCGAATATCGCACTGTGGTGGGGGCACTGCAATATGTTACCCTTACTCGGCCAGACATCAGCTTCTCAGTTAACAAAGTTTGCCAGTTTATGAAAGAACCCATTGATGCTCATTGGAGTGCAGTCAAGCGGATCCTTCGTTATCTCAAGTCCACAATTGATCATGTCATTACTTTTCGTGCTTCTCTAGAGTTGGCTCTCGAAGCCTTTTCTGATGCTGACTGGGCTAGTTGCCCTGTTGATCATCACTCTCAAGGTGGTTTCTGTGTTTACCTGGGTCGTAATCTGATTTCATGGAGCTTTCGTAAACAGTCTACGATTTCTCGCTCCAATACAGAATCAAAATACCGTAGCCTTGCCTCTACTGCCACTGAAATTCTTTGGCTCCAGATGTTACTCATGGAGCTTGGATTGAAGCTCCCTCGTCCACCTGTCATCTGGTGCGACAATTTGAGTGCCAAGTTTCTCTCCTCCAATCCTGTCCACCATTCTCGCACCAAGCACATAGAATTGGATGTTCACTTTATATGGGAAAAAGTTGTGGCCGGCCTTCTGCTGATCAATCACATTCCCAGCCATGATCAGATTGCAGACATTCTTACTAAACCGCTGCCTTCAACACGGTTTCATGACCTTACAACCAAGCTTACCGTCTCCAAGAGACTGCTAAACTTGCGGGGGGATGTTAGAGTATCTCAATAGTTATGATAGACTTGTAACTGATCATGGGTATCTCTGATAGCTATCCTAGATAACTGATCACCTTATCTCATTATCATGAAATTTCCTAGATAAACTCTAACTCTGTAATTGTTATCTTCTGTACATAGTTATCCTCTTGTAACTTCTCTATTTAAATGATTCAAGAGGCCAGTCATCACTAGTCATTCCATTCTCATTGTTTTTAGTATTGCTCTTATATTGCAGCTAATGATAAATTGAAATTATGTAATTCTGTACAAACACACTTTTTCATGCTTGTGTGGGAAGTCCAGTTTTCAGGGGAATCGTATTTATGATAATCAGTGTGCTTAAACTTCAGATGATATAGCATAAATGCATATAATTTCTTGTTTTCACAACTTTCTAATATCCCAATATCTGTTTATAAACAGGAGTCTGTGATTATGTGTGCTTACATGGTCCTGATCACACTAATTATTTTTTCCATGTTATGTAAGAACATTTATAGCTTGTTTAGGAATGTGGACTCTTTGGGGCATTGTATACCTGGAGAGTAGGCAGTATAAATATATATATTCATGTGAAGCAAGGAATTTGGTTTACTAAAAACTCATCTCATTTTTTTAATTGTACTTAGGTACAACCTTTTTATTCTTGATCTCATCATAAGCATTCCTTTTATGTTTGAGTTTCTTGGTTCAAATGCTTGTCTCGATCGTACCAGACACTGGGAACTAAAGATATATCAAGATGCTGCAGTGATCAATATATATTACAATCGCAAGATTTGAGGGAGATTTTGATGTTATATGGATCGTCTTTTAGAGTTGCTCAACTTTTTCGCATTGCTCATGATTCTTAGGCTCTGCCTCAGTATGTCAACTTCCCTCTCCCTCTTGACTCCCTCCTTGTCCATTGCAGCCATTTTTGCTTTCAAGGCTTGGATTACTTCTTCCTTAGCTTTCAGTTCCCTCTTTAGCTCTTCCATCATGTTTGCCTCTCCTCCTGTATGCAAACACTTTCCTACAAAGATAAAGCACATTTCAGTGATCTAATACTTTGTATCCATCACCAAACACCCTCTAAACCAAGAAATTTACAGACCATATCGAGAGGTTGCCAGATTTTATTGAAAGATGTGTTGCTGCTGGGTTAAATCAACAGTAGATGAAACATAGAATACTAGCAGGATTGCTGATACTTTGGATCCTCTGTTAAGAGCTAAATGTGAGTACACTGTATCCTAAATTATACATAATTCTTAGAGCTATATAATTTGGGAAATCAAATTTGTTTAGTATGGACCCATATCAAAATGGGGATAGAGGGACTATAGTTGACTAATATCTCTATGTCAGATCAATTATTTAGCAGCCTCCACTTGAATGTTCTTATACTGGGCTGTATGTTGTAGGGAGGGCACAGTATCAAACTAGAAAGAAAAAACTAAGTGAGGAACAACAGGGTTTGCTGATCCAATGGTCTCTAGCCCCAGGACTGTCTTATCAAATTAAATCAATAACAGGTCAATGACATTTCCCATCTTGTTCTTTACAAGAAAGGGAGCAGAGCACAGCCCTGTTCAAGGGACAAAAAAGTTTTCACATGACAAGACAAAAAATATTCTATTTTAATTATTTTCTTTTATGACCATAAGCAAGCATTTTCCATCTTTTCAGTAGAGGGTCTGTCCCATTCATGAAAAGAAAAGAAAAAAAAGGTGAACCCAAATGAGTAGCTTCTAAATTATTATGTTCTTTTCCTCTATTCTATCTCATCTCATGCAAATCAACAAGGAACCAGCTTGAATCAACTCACCCAAGAATTCAATTTTTTGATTAGATATTACAGTCATCAAAGATAATGCTACTAAAGGCAATATAAAGAGATATGGTTTTAATGGTGTATAGCAAATTAAGTTCTAGTGCCCAGCAAGTTAGAGATGAACTCTAATAATAAATTTAATATGAAAAACTAGGACTTCATTTTCTATTCAAGTGAGATGTTCATCATTCATGGATCTATTCACATCATGGGGCTTCAAATCCAATGAACCAGAATTTTATAGGCTTTAAAAATCAATGGCTTCCAAAAAAACATATTTCGCCTACCTGCTGGAACGCCGAGATTCTGATTCCCATTCATCTTCTCATAGTTTCCCTTTCTCAGATCACCTAATTCATTAATCAACATGATTATGTGATAACAAACATATGATGTATTGCATTCACTTGGAAGATTTCAATTGAAAACAAACATGAATTTCACTACATTAGTTTTGACCTTAGAGGTTTCTTCATGTCTGGTTTGATAGAAAATAAGAGAGAAATAGAAAGTAGAGGGAAGCTTCGTGACAAATTTTGTGGAATTCCTTGAGAACTTCCCCTCAACTTTCAATTTCTCTCTTATTCTCTGTCAAACCAAACACAACCTTTTGTGGCCTCCTCCCATGAATGGTGAGAGTCTCAATGCCTTTCTACAATTAATTATCACCTGAAGTCAATGGTAGAGTCTGTCACTGCTAAATTTTTTATGTTTTGAGCAGTGTTCTAGGACTAGAAAACTAAATTCACTGGGATCTGAGTCAAGTAACTGAGCGAGTTCACTGGGCTAACTTCCAGTAATCGTCCAATTAAACTTGGAAAATACAAGTACGTAAAATGAAGAGAGAGAGAGAGAGAGAGAGAGAGAGAGAGAGAGAGAACCTTGATATGTCCTGTAAATGAGGTCATCGAGCTCTGTCTTGATTGCTAGGTAGAGTCTCTTCCATTTTTCAATGGCTTCGTCCCGGCGTGCTTGTTCCTCCAACATGTGTTCAACCAAAATACTGGCTCCTAATATTTGCCACTCTTTGTCATTTCTTCCAACTAACATCTCATCTTCCATCCTCCGAATTACCTTCTCCCTCTCTTCCAACTTCTTTCTCAACCTCTTCACCTCCTCTCTCATCTTCTTCTTCTCACGCTTCCACTCTGCCTCTTTAACCATAAACACCTTCGCTTGCTTCTGATAAACTTTACTCTCCTTCTCTCTCTTGCACCTTGCTTCATTGATCTCCTCCTGAAGAAGTGTTATCTTCTCTCTAAAATCTCCCATGTCAATCTCGCATGAATCACACCGGTTCTTGCTTGCAACACAACCCATTACAGCTCCTCCGGATTGCTTTCTCAATTCTCTCTCTCTCTCTCTCTCTAGTGATTTAATTGACTGAGTGGATTGCCGTTGATGATTGAAGCATCGTTGGGGTGATAAGTAACTACTGATAACTCCAATATTCTTCTTCATGAGTGAACACTACTTATTACCCAGATAAATATTCTCATTTCTCCTATCGGTCAAGTCGGTTTTCAGACACTTAATCATTAAAGGCAGTGACAATGAAGCCCGTGAAGAGAACTGCCTAAAGTTATATAAAAGACGTGTTCATAATATACAAAAAGCAAATGTTTAAAAGAGGAAATAAAGCTGAAAACTAACAAAAGCAGAAATCTTGAATTAGGCTGTATTGTTTTCTAATTTCAATAAAACTATGAAAATTTTGCTCCATGTAGATGGAACAATGGCTACAACTCTAGAAAGTATTACCCCATCCCGTTTGTCCTCTACAGATGGGGTGCATTTGGAACTCGACAGACCCCATTTCATTCTGCAGCAGGACCCAGTCAATCTACCCAAATTTCGCCGTGTTACAGTCTGAGTCTGACTATCAACGAGTAAAACTGGGTTTGGCCTTTTCGAATAGATTGGAATTCAACCCCAGAGAAGGGGTACTGTGTCTTCAGTTATCCCTCACATGTGTAGCTCCTCGGTAGATTGCATTGGATTCCTACCAAGAAAAGACATGCAGTAATTGCTCCGGATACAATTTTGCACAGGACGTGTGTACATGTTTGCACAAATATTGTAGGCCCCACTTCATAATTCTCTTATTATTACTCAGGAACAATGGTGAACTTATGCTGTTTGCATTCTGGTTAAGTGTATATTGTCTGCAATTATTTAGAGGTATTGTTTGCATCCCAAGATGCTCAAAAGATAGAGAGGAATCTGAGCTATTTATCCCTAAAAAAGCCAACAACTTAGAACAAGGGTGTCGATAGAAAATAACCCAACCCTTACCAAAAAAAAAGAGAGATCGGTTAAATTGCACACATTCCTTTTGGTAAAGGGTAAAATTGGATAATGAGGGCCCACAAATCATTCAACTAAGCAGATGTATGGGCTGGAGGATATCTTGTCACATGATGGGAGTGAGTGGGTCCCATCTAAGAGGTTGCCCGGATCAAGGATTCCATCCTGGATATGTAATGTTTTCACTTTTTAACCCTAAGGCCTCTCATCATTTGTTTACAGTGCAATTTCATTTGCACTGGTTCAAAGGTATGAGAGTGCAAATTTTGGTTTACTTTTTCTTTATGTTTGACTTCATTGTGTTTCTGCAGTACAGTATAGATGAAAATGAAATAAACTTGAAGTCTAAAGCCAAAGTGAATCAGAATGTTGCCATCCCATCTCATAGTTTTGCACCAGTGCAAAAGACAATGCACTATCAAACAAATGGAATCCAAAGAAAAGCTAATGGGCCTCCAAAATGATTTCTTTTATTTTTTTCTTCTTCCTTTTTTCTGACAAAACAAATTCGTTAAGCAGAAGCAGAGCAGAAACATCAGAAATTAAGGGGATTGACAGCCACTTAGGGAGAAAGACTGGACCCAGAGATAAGGAATGAAATCATGGAGATTTTATAGCAATCTCAAGTGAATCACGTAGCCATCTTTTCAGTATCTCAGAGAGGATATATGGAGGGGAGAGCTTCTGGCTATCTGTTCTGTTTATTGAAATCAGTGGCCAATTTTAGGGTGTCAGTCTCCAGAGGAACTTTTAATGCTACACTGCCTGTAATTAGGCTGGTACTTGGGTTAAGGCAATCTCACAGTGGAGCTGATCATTTGAACATAAGACATGGATAGAAATATGAGGAAGGGGGCTTTGCAGCTCTGCTCTAGCCATTCTGATCGCTCGTGATTGTCTGGCAACTGCCTTTGCAACATGAGACAAAGTTCTATGTATCCCATGGTCACCAGATGCAAATGACTTGTGCCTTCCCTTCTAGCCCTGAAGAGGGAGATACGAAAGTTCTACTACTTCAGGCTCAAGGAGGGTGCCCTCATATTAGTATGAGGTGACTCCCCTTGATAGGTAGGGGTGTAATTTGGGTGGGTCTGGGTTTGGATTTTTGGTTATTGGGCTGAACTTGGATTTAAAAAGTTGGGCTTTTTTATTTTTTGGATTGGGCGCAGGTCTAGCCCTTAGGTAATTTGAACCAGGCACAGGTCCAGTCCAACTATATACATTCATACATATATTTGTATATATATGTAAATTTTGCATATATATATATAAATAAATGTATATATATATGTATAAATTTAGAATGAATTCATTGACCAATCTAAGCCTATTTCAGGTCCAAACCCAACTTGAATGTATCAAATTACAGTACAAACCAAACTCGAATTGAAAATATCAGACTCGATCCGGATTCAGGCTTTAAGCCCGAATTTTAAAATCGGGTGTAACCCACCTGCCCTTCCATCCCTATTGGATGTGTTTTCTTGTATAACTGCAACTGTCCAAGGCTCCCAGCTCCATTCATATATTGATTTAGACTTTGGACCCCATCTGGTTGGGAGCTGGGTTCAATCAAGGAAAAGATAATCATTTAATCGGTGAATAACCATTCATATATTGATTTAGACTTTGGATCCTATCTGTTGAAATGAATAGATGGGGGCTGGGTTCAATCAGGGAAAAAAATCATTCCATGGGTGAATAACCATTCAAATATTGATTAAGACTTTGGAGTTTGGACCCCATTTGAAATAGATAGATAGGAGCTCGGTTCAATGAGAGGAAAAAAAGTTCATGAAGGACACGTGGATGACCTACTTGGTGTCCCTCTATATATGGATGTGTGAGATAAAACTCGCATAGCCGTAGATTCTCAATGGTAACGTCAGTGAAGATGTTTGTTAGGCAGGCAGTGGGTTCTGTTTTACTCCTAATCCGGTCTTATATTAAAAACACTTATTGATTTGGATGATTAAATTGTTGACTCGTTTGATTTGATGAACAACTTTTGACCATTTTTTTGTTTTAATTATTTTTTATATATTTTTATTATTTTAAATTATGATGGGTTATTCATTCTAACTGAATGATTGAACGGTTGACCCAAAAACTAATGGCCAAAGTAATTTTAATTCTAAATTTTTTTTAAACATTGGTTTTATATGATAAATCCCGAACCAAACTCATTACTCATCGGTATAATCTAAGTCTGACGCAATTAGACTGGATTATACTTGATATCTGTAATTACTTATGGTAATACATCTGAGAACTTTATTTTTATTATATAACCTTAAAAAACGCTTTAACTAAGAGTATCTATTTATCAAATGAAAAGAAAAAAGAAAAGATTAAAATTATCTTATATACTCTCGACTTTCATATATTATTGATTATATAATTGGTTCGATCGATTCGATTTTATTGGATATCTTCGACCCATTGACAGTCTACCCTCTTCATCCCTGTGTCAACCGATTTAACCTGGGGTGCTCAGTGGCAGAAACGTCCTTTTAGAAGTAGGAAAGTGTTTTTGTTTATTTATTTTGTTACCTCAAACATCCACTACAATCACCCAAGGACCTTACTGGTTGCTAACTGAGCCGGTTGGCACCGTTCTTATTGAAAGAGAGACCGGATCTGCTCCTCACACATGRCATCTCACACAGACCTTCTGGGCACATCCCACTGTGTATTAGAAATATCTTCCGTTGTGCATGTGAGATTATTGTGAGGCACCCTGTGTGTGAGGATCAGATCCCTCAAGATTGTATAAAGCAACTGAATAATAATAATAATAAAATAATATAAAATAAAATGCATAAAGAATGAATAATCACCTTTTGGGCTGACAATCTGTTCATCTGTCTGTCCCTCGTCTCGTGTGCTCCAAAGCCTCTTCCATGGAAGTCGGAAAGAGCAAGATTGAACTCACTTTTTGTATTCTCCCAAGCATCTCTTCTTTATTTACAAGTTATGATTCATGGGGAACCTACTATGAGATATTATTGATAATATTTTATTTCCATTTGCTCTAGCTTATTATTTCCATTTTAATATATTGAGATATTATTGATAATATTTTAAGGTTTTAACTGTCAACAGTAATCAAATGGGAAAATTCTAGATCAGTATTCTGTACTTTTGACTCGAGTATAATTTGATTTTTAAACTTTAAAATGTGAAAATTCAGTATCTGAAATTTAGAAATGTCACAATTTAATGCCTGTCATTAACCAACCATTAAATGGTATATGAAAAGCATTCAAGTGTCATCTAATTTTCTTTATCAACTATTCACTAAAATCAGAACCAATCATCAAAATTTTCATCTCTGTGACAACACTTTTGTCTTTCTCTTTTCTGAATATTTTATTCAAAAAACAGAAAAAGAGAAAAATCTCTAGCCACCATCACTGATCTCTCTCTCTCTCTCTCTCAAGTATCAAGACAAAGCTTTCAGTTTTTCTCCTCTCTTTTATTTGTAGGAATAAAATATTACTATGTTAAGTTAAAAAATAAAAATAAGTTGTACAAAACTTGGAATTTTTTGTTCTTGACAAAGACTTGCAACAACTTTGCAGGAAAGGCGAAGTCATTGCAAGTGTTTGTGAGAGAGAGCTTGGGCTCTGTTGCAAGGGTTTTGGTGTTTGTGACAAAAGGCTTGTACTGATCGAGAATTTTCCCTAATCAAATTAGATGTTTCTTTCTTATGTCAAGATTCAAATACCTAGCTTTTGTATTACATAGAATATAGACTGCACGAAATTTCAACAAAGCATAAACATAAGGCTACATATTGGGTTATTCAACTTAAAAATTTTCAACTACATCATGCTTGGGTTACGATTCGGGTCCATTGAAAATTTAACAAATTCCCAATCCAAACCTGACCCAAGTTGCACTGTTGCATGAAAAAGGTTAAGGTTAGGTGAAAAAAGAGAACCAACATTATTATTACACTTAAAAATTGAAATGCCTAGGGGTGAGTATTCGGTTTATTCGGTTTAAAACCGAATTGAATAAACCAAAAAATTTAAAACCAAAATAATAAAATGAAAACCGAAACAGAAAATGATTTTTCAATAAAACCAAAATAACCGAACCAAAATTTTTAGTTCAGTTTTTGGTTATTTCAGTTAAAAGTCGAATTTAGTTATTATATATATAATATTATATATTATAACCTATATATATATTATAATATATATTATGAAATTTAATTTCATTATAATACATTATATATAATATATTAATATATAAATATATAACATATTATATACTATATAATGCATTTTAGCTAATTCAGTTTTTCGATTAACTGAATTTCTAAATCTGGCAGCCAAAACCGAAAATCGAAATTATTAAAAACCAAATTAACCAAATCGAATTACCCAAAAACC